ACTGCTTGCTTGTTGCCTTGCAAATATCTGGCCCTGTCTGCCAGCCACAGGCTGACTTATAACTGCTTGAGCCCAGCTGAGAGACATGCTGCTGATTGCACTGCAGTGCAGCAGGCAGCAGCGGGAGTTGATTGCTCTCAGAGAGAGCAGAGGAGGCAAAGAGGCCAGAATCATAACAGTAGGTTAAACAGGTTACAATAATACTAAATAATCTTGTAAATATGCATGAAAGCAAGGATCTACTATCTCCAAGACAAAATATTACGACCACATGTCCTGAAAGATAGTGTACAGAAAGTGGATGCCTACGGTGTCCTAAAGTCTGGGTCCAATCCAGCCTCCTGTTGGGCATGGAGTCTTCATCAGATAATTGTGCCAAACAGATATTATCAATCTATGGAAACTATTTATCATCTTTTGTGTGGTCAACAGTAAGAACACTATCCAGGGTAGGATGTTCCTAAAGCTAGATGGGTAAACTGGCTGTTCTCAACTCAACCAGCGAAAGTGTACTTACAATATAAAAAATATATTTTAAGTATTTGCACACAAATAATTTAAGTAAAATTTAATGCTGCAATATCAAGTAAAACTCACTTGCCAGTATCAAGTGAATGTTACTTCCCATAAGGCATGACAATTGTTAAGATATCAAGTAACATTTACTTTATTACATCCAAGTTGTAGGTTAGATTTTCTTAAACAAATGAAGTAAAGTGTACTTGTTTTTCATAGGCACAAACACCCTTTTACTCAAAAATGTTATTAACTCTTATATCCCTGTAGTATATGCTGTTATGAAGTAATTAAGTAGATATAATTTTCTTGTGCTTGAAATATTGATTTACTTTGTTGCATTATGTGATATTACTCACATACTGCTGGATCCGATCTCCAGCTGTCTACGGGCGAGAGGCGTGGTACACCCTGGAAAGGTCACCAGTCTATCGCAGGGCAACACCAGAGACAAACAACCATTCACACACACATTCACACCTAAGGAGAATTTGAATGCATTTAGGAAAGCAACTTCAATTTTAGGGTGTTTACTTTTGGGACAGTTTAAATCCATCCAACTCCAGGAAAAGTTTTTGGAGGACTTTTGGGAGGCTATGCCTAGTTCTGGGCATATATCAGTCCCATTGGCAGCGAGCAGGCTTTTGCAGTACTGTTGCACCCTGCCAAAATGACTGTTGTTGGGACGGCCTCTTGCTCTGTGTCTGATCCTGTGATGTGTGGACTCGGAGCAGAATCAGTCCTCCTGTGAGCTACAGTGTGCATGCATACATGCATGCGTTTCAAAGCGCTAAATTTTAAAAGTAAAGTTTGTCTAGTATTTTAAGGTTTATGTACATACTGCTATTAAACCTTTAAATAGTATAAGGAAATCTAAGTAAAGGTTCCTATTTCCCCAAAAGTCATGTATTACAAAAAAAGGTTTAATTTTACTTTAGAAATCCTGTTTTTAGAGTAGAAATTATGACAGATACTCTAATAGATTTTACTGCACCAAAAATTCATTTTTTCAGTGCAGTAATGGCTGGAGGACAGACATTGCACCTTATTTAGCTTTTACAGAAAGCACATATTGAGAAGTTGATAAAAGCAATAGATTCATTAGCCAAGACTAAAATCTAATTAAATTTGAAAACGTAGATGATCCAGCTGTTTATTAGTCATTTTCTAACAGCTGTCCAAGCATAAAAGGAAACTCTGTATGTAGAAAAAAATGTCATTCATTTTTTAATCCTAAACTTTTTAAATGTTTTGTTGTGTATCATTTTGTGTTTTTATACAAACTACTATTGTTCATTGGATTTAAAATAAACCCGAAAGGTTATCTTTTCAAAGTCATCGATATATATTTACATTTTAGTGTCCTTATTGTATAATTAATGACTCAATGAAAATTTTACAGGCATTTTCAATATTTCAAATAAATTAAACATTTCAGTGGAAAATGTTAAGAAAAAAACCCTACAACTAAAATCTACTTCACCCACAGATGGGATGATAAAAGTAAAAGATATAAAACGGCTTTTGAAGTCGTGTTCCTTAATCAGATATATTCATCAATATAGTAATGGATATTTTATACATATTTACTATAATTTTTTAAAGCCCTATGGTTAAAAAACTCTTATTTAACCAAAAGTCTCTTTTTTATTGAACATGTTACCAGGGACACCCATCAGGTACTCACACCTTTAGTTTATATTTAGCAATATTCTGGGATCTTTGCTGTTTGAAAGCATGATATGAACCAAAGTATCCTTTAAATGACATTCTTGTCTTGAAACATAAACCATATTTTTAAGTTCTGTTAAAAACGTCATTAACAAGTAGATGTTTTTATTTTGATTCAAGTTTCAACCTTATGTATAAGAACTAACAGAAAATATAAAAAATAAATGGAATAAATGTTTCATCTGAAGTATAAAATTGCTTATTTTATACCAATTGCCTTGACAAAAAATAGGATGATCAGGATTTTTTTTCGAAACCTTGTTTTATATATTGTAAGCTGTTTAATATATACAATTTTTCATACAAAAAGTTGTTGAATCAATGATCTCTTCACTGATCGAAAGAAAATGGCTGAAATATTATGTATCAGAGGGAGAAAAGAAACGAAAGTTTTTATTCTCATTGCACAAACAGACACATAATCTAATGGCTGAAGTAATAGAAAAGTAAAAAATAACTTAAGACAAGGTTTTAATCTGATTTTCAATAATATTCAAAATCACATATAAAATCAGCAACAATGAATGCCCTCTATTGTGTTCAAATAAAAACTGCAACAGATGTTTTCACTTCCAGGTATTTTCATTTTATGTAAAGATGTGATAAAAATATCTAAAAATAATTTAACCAAATGTTGTTGGTAAATAAATTAAAAACCTATAAATTTTTTTGTCTTAGGGTTTCACAAAGATATAACAAAATATCAATACCTTTTACTGCTACATAAGCAATATTGATTTTGAAGTAAAAGTACTTTTACTTGCCTGCTTTACCTATCAGAGATTAACTAAACCAAATGTATTATCATTGGAAAATCTTCAAACTATTGGACAGCAAATACAATTTAAGTAGTTTGCCAATATTTTCTGTTTGCTTATTATGTTTTTAAGTTTTACTTATTTATAATGCCACTATTTAAAGTACTTTCATTATTTCAGTTTTTTGTGAAGCTAACCCATTATTTTAGAAACTAAAATCAGTTGTCTTATTCAGAACTTCAACAACCTTTACTTTAACAAATAATTTTTAAATCCTAATTGAGTGAGTTTTTATTTTTTGGGCGATAATTGTTATTTCTTCTTGAGTGAAAATATTTGAAGAAATTATTAAATTTTTTATATTGAAATACTTCCACTCTTCCTTGAGGGCAGTTTTTGTCCACTGTTTCCTCTCCTCATAGTTGGTTGCAGAAGAGGCATAATGAAGTAAATATGGAAAATTGAGCATTTACCATCAAACATGACAGAGTTCATTTATCACCAAGCAAACATGCAATGATCAAAGTTAGAAGAGAACTGTTCAGTAGTCAGTCTGTTTTACCTTCAATTTGTTGCCCATAGGAAGACGTTACTTGGATATAACAAAGCCGAATATCTTCAGAACAGCTCCAAATGACACAAAACTAATATGGGTGAGTAGAAAATGATTTTATAACATAAAATCAAGGGCCCAATGTAAAAAAAAAATAATAAAATGAAAAAAAAAATGGTGTTCCCCTTTATATTTGAGGGAATATTTGTTTTTTCTGTAAGATATTCATATTTCTCCAATCCCTTCCTCCAGCTGTCCAGGAGCAATAGACAGAGTAAGAGACCTGACAGCAGATAATTAGAATCTGACTTACTGCAGAATCAGAGGCAGGCTGTGTCAGATATTTACACTTCAACCCTGTGCAATGAATATCAGAATAGATTAGGAAAATGTTATGCAACCAATAAACTAACTTAATCACACACATGAAATTGGAAAAATAAACCAATGAATCCTCTAAACATCACATTTAAATTAAGCATAACTGCACCTTTTGGATTTTTTATCAAAAATGTCCCATACTTACTATTCAGCTAAACTTTAAAATAATTAACCATATTACATCAAATTCTTCTGAAATCTAAATGCATTCAGCCAACTTGCTGGTCAAGATTCTCAGTCTTCCAGGACATACAGTAGTTATTCCAACAAAATAAAAACAAACAAACCATGGAGTTCCAGGCTTATGAGTAAATATCAGAAGATGAAGGGGATAATAATAATAGTAATGTCAGCAACTCAAAAAGTTGTACTGTTGATCCATGCAGAATATGAATTTATATCTGAATCATATTTAATGGACCAGGCTGTAATTGTTGCTGGACTTGATACCTTGAAGCAAATTTCAGCCATTTAAATCATACCAATATGTTTTGTGTATTTTCCTTTTTGCTAAAGCCTATGAATATATAAAAATAAGAAACCATTGATCCTTAAGTTTTCATTTTCATCACAGTCGGCTACAAAGGAGAGAAGAGAAATATGATGCTGAACTGAAAGTTTACAGCCACTTACAATGCAAAATAGGTGAAGAGAATTAAACCAGAGAAGAGGTCTGTCATGATGGGATTAGATGTCTAGCCCATATGCAGAAACACACGGAGGTTAGGAGAAAGCTCAAAAGGTTTATTGACAAAGGTGTAGATAAAATGTGAACAGGAACTTGGGTGGTCAGACTGGTCACGGCTGGATCTCCACTGAGGAGTACAGAGAGGTTAGAGGAGTTCCAGGTAAACTGCTGTTTATCAGATGATGGGGGGAATACCTGCTTAGAAGTGGAACTGATCAGCAGGGGGGGAAACTTGAGGGTCCAGATGCTAGTAGGCAGGCAGAAGGCTGAGGGCTAGCAGAGATTGAACTGAGTGCAGGCAGGTGGAGAACTGAGAGCTTGGCAGAGGCAAACTGAGTGCAGGCAGGCAGATTCCAGGTTGAGGTCTCTATCTTCAGTGTTTCAGGTTTCCAGGCAAGTCAGGTTCTGAGAGACAGGGAGAAAATAGGGTCAGACAGGTTCACAAGAATCAGGCAAGATCTGGTAGACTGGCTCAGGTTTTGCTGATACCATTACTGGCAAACACTCTGGCACTGGAGTGTCAGTCTCCTCCTCCTTAAGTAGGAGTCCTCTTGATGAGCAGATGGAAGACAAGTGTTGCAGGTGAGCACAAGCCCTCAGGAAGGGATCCTCGGCGCCCTCTGGTGGGCAAGCCTCCGGATCCCAACAAGGTCTACCATCTACAGAGTTCAATCCCATATATTTGAATTTCTGCATGACTGATAACTCCTCTCTAAAGGTTTCTCACCTACATTTGATCCCTGGACAATTTTTGTTCAGATTAGGTGACCAACCGTATTTTTCAAAGCTGTTTATTTATATATCTTTAGATACTGTATAATGAATGGGTGACTTTATTCTGCTAAACCAATCCACCACTTTTTGTATTCTTGCAGTTTATCCATGATGGATAGAACACTTTTAATGGGTTTTAAGTAGATGTTGGTCATTTGGTGACTGCAGAGGAATCCATTACTATCCCTAAAAGTGTTTTAAAGACGTGCTTCTTCCTTAGCAAAATTCGCCCAATGCCCCCCGCACTCCCCACCCCACCCCACCCCTGTGTATTATCCAGCAAACAGCCTATTCAAAGAAATGGCAAGATATGTATTATTAAATACAGGAAAATATTATTTCACAATTCCTGCCCCTGATGCCTTTTAAATATTTCAATACTGTCATAATGAGTTCTTTGCACTTTTGACTGAATGGATTCCAATAATCATAGTCATGCATTTTATCTTATTTCAGAACACACAAGCAGATAATGAAGATGAAATAAAAAAACAGAAGAATTTGTCTTACTGTTACAAAAATTCTAGTTTTCTATGGTTATAAAAGTTGAGGAATACATTGCCAGTCTGAAGAATAATACGGATCATATTAATACCTGTGTACAAATGGCCTGAAATATTTTTATTTAATTTTTTTATTCTTTATGTATAATAAAAATCTATTTTTTATTTTCCTTAATTTAAAGAAAAGGCCTCAGTAGGTTCTCCTTTACTTGTCAGGGATTGGGGTTGTGGCTAGGTTATTTTTTCATCCTTCAGGTTCTTCCACCAGAGGGCGACTTCTGTCATTTGCTGCTGGGCTGGATCATCAGCTGCAGGTACAGTAAGGAGTATTACCTCTCTGTCTCTCTGAGCACTTGAAAATACTTCATGTCTCTATTAATCTGTGAGTTATTTTCAGTTCCCTGTTCTGGGAATGCCTCTGCAAACTACTTTCACTGAAACCACTCCATCTTCACGGCCTGCCCGCCCAGCAGCTACAATAGTTCTCTAAAGACACCATTTACTTGAAAGAATCAAACTCACCACCACCAGCTTACAGCCACAACCCTGGACATCACTCGCAAATGTAAGATGGATGCCTGCTACATTCATTCCCTCACTCTGTCAGTTCTAATCCTGTGATGTGTTTTTAGAGAACCTGCCTCCTGCACCATCACTGCAGTTCCTAATCTCCCCATTACCTTATTCCCTTATCTTCAATAAACTCAGTTATCTGATTTCTTGATCTCCTGACAAAACCATAACAATAGCCCAAAGAAGGCGATAGGAGTAGTTTTGATGCTGAAACACCCAACTGTTGTTTAAAACCCACATATATTGCATCTTTAAATCCCAAAGTTTGTGACACAAATCCGTGATTACTGTGGCCTCCTTCCCTAAGACTTTTTTTACATATGATTTTAATTTAATCCTTCTGTCTGACTTGTTTTTGCACAGCCTCCTCTGTGGTTTGTATCACTGTGCCGCCTCACACAGTAATAAACAGCTGTGTCTTCAGGCTGTAGATTCTGTCCTGTTATTGTTACTGTTCCAGCAGAAGTGTCTCTGCTGTAGCTGAACTTGTTCTTCAGAGCATCATTTTGGTAAAAACCCCCACCACCCCACATATAAAAAATCCATTCCATTGCTTTTCCTTCCCGATGTCTGATCCAACCTGTTGCATAGCTGCCATCAGTTATAGAGTAACCAGAGGGCTGACAGGTGATAGTCAGAGACTGTCCAGGCTGCACAACTTTAGAGTCTGGCTGGATGAGATCAATACAGAACACACCTGTGGAGACAAGGGAAAAAAAACAAAATTAATACTATAATTCATCTAATTTTAAGTGCATCAACTATAAGTCTAATCAATTTAAAACTCCTTACAGGATCCAGCAGTTAGCAGCAGTAACAGAGCCACAGAGTACATGATTGATGCTGAAGCTCAACTGATGAAAGCTGTTTGATCCTCTGACTAAAGCAGATTCATGACTTCCTTTTATACTAAATTACTTTACATATTGTTAAGTAGGAGGTGCTTTATGATTTATCACTGTCTCTGATTTATTACTAGCAATTATACTTATCCTAACATCACCAAAGCTCACGTTTTTTGCAGGTTCCATCAAGGCCTTATTTATTTATTTTTTTAAACAAAGAAAATTGTTTCTTTGTTACAAATTGTTCGTACTCTCTTAAAATACACACTTATTTTATGATTCTATTCTTTCTTGTTTTTTAAGAGGGTAGAAGAGAACTTTATCAGATTATTACATTCCGCTGTTTTCATATCTCCAAACTTAAAACTGTGTAGCAGCTCTACAAACATAGCCAGAGACAAGAAACAATTACATCACAATTGGACCTAGTTTCTGTCAAATGACTACTGACAAAGATAAGGGCTGCACGGTTAGGGCAGTTTATAGCACTGTTGTATTGCAGCAAAAAGGTTCTGGGTTTGATGGATGGATGGATGGATGGATGGATGGATGGATGGATGGATGGATGGATGGATGGATGGATGGATGGATGGATGGATGGATGGATGGAAACTTACTGCCAAGCCTTTGTTTTTTCTTAACTGATCCTGCTACTGGAGCTTATTATGATGGACGTCAAGCCAGTGTTTTAGGTTTATTTTATTTGCTGAACCTTTTGCCGTTTGATCTGTTAAAACAGTAAATTGAAATAATGGTAAATACTTATCAAATATCTTTAAAAAATAGCTGCGTTTCGAAGAGATGTTTTTATCAACAGAGGTTTCAAAAGTCTTAAAATTTATTACTCATGTAGTGTCATGGTTTTGTTCTGTTTAAGTTTTCTTTTTGAGTTTTCATTGGTTTCATTTCCATTTTGTAGTATTTTAGTTGCTTTCTGGTTGTATTAGGGTTCTTTTGTATTTCTTGTTTATCCTCTGTTGCCCTCTTGTGTCAGTCTCCTTCTTCTAGCTCCCTTTTAAATTCTTCGGTCCACACCTCCTCCCAATCAGTTGATTACTCTTGTCATTGTTCTGTTTGCGATAAATACTCCTCCTCTTCAGTTACTGTTTGCTGGTTCCTAGTTGATTCTTTGCTTTTTAAGTGTGTTTCCCTGACTAGTTTTAGTTTTTGGTTTCTGTATTTTGTTTTTGGAAGTGACTTTGGTTGCCTTGTGGAACACCATTAAATCAGCAAAATCACATCTCTGCCTCTTTCTGTCTCTGCATTTGGGTCCTCCAAAACCTCCATAAAACCTGACAAACAGAAGCATAAAGCCTTCTGTCTAAAAACACTTTTGTAGAAGCTAGAATATCAACTTAAGTAATCAACTTTTTTTTTAAAGCACTTAAAGTATAAAATTAAAAGTAATGCAAGAATAATTTTAAGGCTAGACGAGCTAAACCTATATGCTGGTTACAGAACTACCCTATTTAAGGAAAAATTTTCTACAATTTTGAATGATAACTTCCTTATACTTAAGTTTCTTAGTTTTCTAACTAAAGGCAACAGCATCAAATTTAACTTTGCATCATATAGAAAAACAATTTAATTTGATACAAGGCAAACAAAAAGTCGGTGCAGTACTGAGTCCTATCAGCAATAAATTAATTGTCTGGATGAAACAAATTATTTTGATTAGTTTATTTTTTTTAAATACCAACAGGCCATAACGAAAATGAGTTTAAATAAAACAAAACGAAGAAGTCTCCTTTTAAAATATAAGGAGTACAAAATAGAGATATTTGCAAAAACTGCAAGGAGTAGAAGTGAATAGTTGTCGAAACAAAATTACTGTAGTAAAGTAGAGGTAGGCAAAATTTGCACTTAAATAAGGTAACAAAATATTTAGATTTTGTTACCTGACACATCTGTTAATTAATAATACAAAGACCTCTAAATCCCAAAATGCTTTGGTTTTTAAATATTGTATAATTGGCATGTCTTATTCTCCGTTAATTATACTTTTTTCAGTTCATAGTAAAATTCTAATGTTTTTTTTTCAAACTCCCTAAAATATCAAAACAGTTGATATAGAAAATACTGTGGTTGGGATACGACTTATCACCTTAATTGGATGAATGTCACAATATTAAATGAGCTAAATTTTGTTAAGGCAGAAGAAAAATAGAAAATACTGTTTAAATTATAGAACATTCCTTAGACAGTAATTCTCTATAGGGCTGGGTTTGATAATGGAACCATGTCTCTCAGTCACTGGGTTGAGAT